CAGCGCCCACGCCCATCTGCCCGCAGCCGGTGTGCCCGGCCCCTTTCTGCCCGGCGCTGGTCTGTCCCGACTGCGTGTCGGCGGCAGGGGCTCCAGACCCGGGGCCGCCCGGGGGCTCTGCGGCTCTCGGAGTGTGCGAGGTGCCCGAGGAGCTGGCGGAGATCCGCTCGACGGCGGTCCGCCTGGAGGAGCAGCTGGCGCTGCTGCAGACGGCGCTCGAGGCGGCCTGGCACGCCTGGCCGCTCCTGTGGGTCGTCGTCGGCGGAGCCGTGAGAGACGTGGTGGGTCGGCTGACCGAGAGGTGCCGTCGTCGCCATGTTGTCGAACAGGAAGTTCCAGCTGTTCTCCTCCAGCGGCCTCGCCGTGCAGGAGGAGGAGTTTATGCGTGAGCTCGGACCGGGCAAGCGGTTCGCTCTGTGGTATGAGGACGACACCTACTGGCACGAGCGGGTAGCGCTGGCGGAGGTGAGGTCCGGAGTGTGGATCATCGTCACTCCCGATGGCGACCGCTACTCGGAGAACGTTCGGTGCCGTCGGGGTACCTCGGGGGCGGTGCAGGCGGTGCATCTCGTCCCCGGCGCGGAGCTACTGGACCCGATGAAGGGGCACTTCTACAGGTTCCGTGCCGCGCTCGACGCGCCCGAGCTGGTGGAGCAGATCAAGCTAGCGGAGGGCGAGGCGTTTGGGATCACCAGGCGCCGGCGGCCGGCGCCCGAGGCCATCACGCTGTGGGACGGCCAGGACGTCGAGTACCAGGCGCTGATGGATTCGGACGGGACGCAGCTCGTGCCGCTGGTGGTGGATGACGGCCGCGCGGCGCCTGTCGCTGCGCCAGGCGCGGCGGTCCTGCCGCTGGCCGCGCCGGCCGCCCCGCCATCGGATGTCACGTGGCTGATCATCGACCCAGTGCATCCCGATTTCGGGCGTGAGCGACACCCGTCCCCTGATGCTGAGATGGCGGGTGAATACGCTATGGCTCTGGATGTCAATCGTCTGCCGGTGCCAGTGAAGCGCGTGCCGATCTCCGACGTCGCGACTTTCCTTGACACGGTGCACATGCGGGTGCGCAAGATCTTGGATGACGAGGCTGCCGCCGTGAAGGCGGACGGAGGGCTGGAGGGCCGGCTGAACGAGGCCCTAGACGGCGGCACACAGACGCCCCCGGCTGGTGAGGATGCGAGGACCTTGACGGTGAGCTACGACAAGCACGGGGAACGCCACAAGGACTGGCGGTCAGTCTGCGCGGAGATCTCGTACAGCCACTTCGATGACTGGGAGAAGTGCCATGAGGGGCCTCCGGTGACGCTGCCGTTGTTCAAGAACATCCAGCGTCAGGGAGGCGACCCCCGCCTGTTCTTTCCCATCTGGTGTCGGGATTCGGGCGTGAGCCCGCAGGGGCGCACGGGCATCGAGATGAAGCTGCTGCTGGAGATCCTCTACCTGAGCGGCTGTTACGACCAGGTCAACGGCCCTTCTTTGGCGAGCGTCGAGGCCGTGTCGAGGAGGGTGCGCCAGATCATCGAGGCCTACTCGACAGGGGTCCCTGGCCGCGCCAACTGGGAGGGAGTGAAGCACTTCATGCCGCCTGCCAATGCGGCCTCAGTTGTGCCTCCAGAGCTCCGCTCTCGCGCTCATCGTCGCGCGAAGGAGGAGGTGGAAATCGAGAACATGCGACTGAAGGCGCGTGGCCTGCAGCCTGCCGCGGGCGCCGAGGGCAGCCAGCCGACCCTCCCCGGCTCGGGAGGGGGCGGTCGAGGAGGCGGCCCCAAGGGCGACCCGAAGGGCGGCGGACGTGGGGGCGGCCCGAAGGGAGGGGCTGGCGCGGAGGCGGGGAAGGCTCAGGCCCCGGGGCGATGGTCGAGGCCGGCGCCGGTCGTGGTCGAGCCGACGCTGGAGGCCCAGACCCGGTGGCTGACGGCGAGCGTGTGAGGCGCGTCGCCATGCTGCCGCTCTTCCCCATTCCTCTCGCCCCCGCGCCCACCATGCCCAGCGGACGTGGTCGACAGGCCTCCGGCCTGAGAGGCCATTTGCGACGGCTGAATGCAGACGTGAACGCAACTGTGAAGGCTTTGAATTGGATGACTGGGGATCGGCATCAGCCCGAGTACGGGCCACCGCGCACCCCAGAGCAGGCTAGTGTGCATGCGCGCGTGCGAGGAAGGATTTTGTCTCTTTTGACCTCGGACGTCGCGATCCCTAGCCGGCGAGCGGCTTTTTTGGAGCTGCTGCACGGCCGAGCTGTGTATGATGCAGAGCCCGGTGGACACAACCTTGCCAGTTTCTCCAATGTTGCCTCTGTGAGCCTACCTGACAGCCTCGTAGGCGCCCCTTCGGTGCAGGAGGTTGTGGGCCCAGATGCAAGCCAGTACTTGGAGCAGAAATACGAGCGCATGCTGCGCCCCTCTTCGGATTTTTTGGAGCGACAGGAGTCGCTGTCCCCTATAAATCCCTATTGGGACCCTGTGCTTGCTCGCAGCCGCCGCAAGTTTCTGCGGCTAATGCGGGCGCTCTTGCGGGTCGGGCTGGTCACGCTTTTGCCGGCGGGCTCGTCGCCGGAGCAAGTCGGTATGTTCTTTGTAAAGAAGACCGGCAAAAGTAAGAGTCGTCTCATCATCGACGCACGTAGGGCAAACAGGCGATTCGCTGAGCCCCCAGGAGTCCATCTCTGCTCGTCGGAGAGCCTCGCTAGGATCGAGGTCGCTCTCCCTCCAGGTTGCTCCAGTCTCACTCCTGATCAACTTCGTAGCGCCCAGATGTCCCTGGGGCTGGCGGATGTAAAAGACGCGTTTCATCGTTTTCGTCTTCCTCCGGGACTAGCCAGTTATTTTGGTCTCGGTGTTGCCGCGGCTGGGGAGTTGAAAGCAGTAGGCGATGTCGTTGGCGGGAAGATCTTGGGGATCGATGACTGCATCGACATCTGTTGGGCGTCTCTTCCAATGGGGTTCTCTTGGTCTCTTTACTTTTGTCAGCAGGCCGGGGGGCATCGTCTGGGTGGAGTCCCTGGCCTTCGAGATTCGGTCCTTCTTCGAGATCGCGGTAAGCCAGGGGTCTTCAGCTTCGTCGAGTCGGACACGGGCCACGAGAAGGGGTCGGTCCTGGAGGGCTCAGGGGTCTGTCAGTACATCTACGTCGACAACCTGGGTGTTCTCTCGTGCGACCCCTCCCACACATCGACTCTTCTGTCCGACGCGGCGGCCCGCTTTGAGGAGGCGGGTTTGGTAACCCACGAGCATGAGGTGAGCAACAATTCCGTAAAGGCTCTTGGGACTCACGTGGATCTTGAGGGGCTTGGAGTCTCGCTCGCACCTGCTAGGCTGTGGAAAATGCGTCAGGGGGTACTTTGCGCCCTGTCGTGTCGGAAGCTGCCCAGTCGGGTCTGGGAGGTGCTGTTGGGTCACCTCACATTCTGTGCGCTGATCAATCGTGGCATGATGAGCGTGTTCAGGAGTATCTACGCGTTCATAAATAAGTACTACGCTACGCCCATGCCTTTGTGGGACACGGCTAGACAGGAGATGTCGACGGCAGCCTCCCTGTTGTTCTTGATGGATGCTTCGTGGACTTTACCTTGGTCCCCAAACGTCGTGGCGACTGACGCCTCGGAGGAGGGGTTCGGGGCCACGGTCTCGGAGTGGGACGCCCAGGACGTCTCGGAGGTGGGGAGGATCTTGGAGAGAGGTCGTTTCCGGAGGCTTCCTGGAGTTTCTGCTCGGGCCAGGTTTTTCGGAAGTTTGGAGGAGCTGGGGTCCGACGTGGAGGAGAGCGAGTCTGAGCGGCCGTACGACGTCGACTCGGGCTTCCCTGAGGTCCCCCACGCAGTACTCACGAGGGCCCGCTGGAGCACCCTTCTGGCTGGTCCGTGGAGATATTTTGACGAGGGTATCTTTACCTTGGAAGCCAGAGCTCTGTTGTTGGGATTCCAGGCGCTGGTGAGCGAGTACCAAGTCAGAAACGCGAGGGTGCTCTTCTTGCTTGACAACATGGGGGTATGCCTGTCCTTCGCCCGGGGGCGCACCGCGGACTTCAGGACCCTGATGTGTATGAGACGCATGGGATCGTGGTGCTTGGCCCTTGGGATACGTGCATGTTTTCGATGGATACCTTCTGAGTGGAATACGGCTGATGAACCCTCTCGTCGCTTCTCAGTAGAACATGTTGGCTCGCGTTCTGTTCCCGACGGTGCTGGCGCTTCTGGCATCATTCAGTGCCCGCTCAAAGGTGATGATGAGAGGGCCGACTCTTGGGCCAGCCCGGGCTGTTCCTCGGGCGAAGGCGCGGCCAGGCCTGCTGCCAGCGGGGTCGGCATTTGCGCCCTCAACACCAGTGGCGTCGAGGAGTTTGGTGGCGACAGTGTCAACTCCTCCACCCCGCAGGCCGTCCCGTCTCCGTCGCTTACCGCCCGGGGATACGCTGGTGGCGAAGCTCGAGCAGGCCCCGCAGGAGCACAAGGCGCCGGCCCTCGACGAGCTGAACGACGAGGAGGCCTCGAACGTGGTCGAGGAGAGCGACGCGACCTCCGACACGGTCCAGGTCCGAACGCGGCCTGCCCGCCGCACGCGGGTGCTGGCGGCCCCACGTCTGAAGCGAGCACGCCAACCCGTGGAAGCAAGTCGCCTACAAGGATTGGGCCTCCTGCCGCTGGAGTCGAGCGCGGTGCAGGCGAAGACAGAGATCCAGTACCACGAGGCGGTGTGCGCGTGGCGAGCTCGGGCCCGCGAGTTGGGCGAGCCTCTCGGCGTGGCTGCCGAGGTGGACGCCTCGGTGGTGCGGCAGCTTCAAGAGCTTTTCGACCAGGGCGAGAACATCAGCAAGGGCGAGAAGCTCGTGGCCGGGCTGGAGCATTTCCTGCCCGATTTTGGACGCCACGGTGGCCTTCATCTATCCCGCTGTTATCGGGCCTTGAAGGGATGGAGGCGTCGCTGTCCGCCGCGATCGCGCCGCCCCCTGGCCTTCAGCATCTGGGCGGCCATCCTTTGGGAGCTGTGCCGTGCCAACTTCTGGAACATGGGGTCTACACGCTGTTCATGCTGGTGACCTACATGCGGCCGTCGGAGCCGCTGAAGTTGTTGAAAGAGGACCTCTTGGCACCAGCGCGCGGACTCTCTGCCTCATGGATCTGCTTCGCTTTTCGGCAAGAGCGGGGAGTGGCGTCCAAGACGTACGCGACGGACGAGAGCATCGACATGAGCTGCAAGTGGGTGCCCTACCTGTCGTCGGTGGTGGCGGCGCTCCGGACGGGGGGCCCGAAGGCCAAGGTCTTCAACTTCACGTGCAGCAGCTACACGCGCCAGTTCAATATCGCCTGCAAGAAGCTCGGGCTGACGGCCGTGCCTTATCAGGCAAGGCGCTCAGGCGCCTCCATCGACGCCGCCATGAAGTACCGCGCGAGAGCCGAGATCAAAAGCAGGGGAAGATGGAAGGCGGACAAGTCGGTGTTGAGGTACGACAGCAAGGCCAAGATCGTCGAGAGCGTGGACAAGCTGACCGGCTCGTTGGCGTCTCACGTGCGCAGGTGCGAGCTCCAGCTCGGGGCCCTTTTGTGCGGCCAGATCGACCCCTCGGCCATCGCACCGCCCGTCATCCAGAGCTCAGCCCCAAAGAAGCGACGCCGTACCTAGCTGACCTGTTTGGTGGCACAGGCGGCGTCGGGCGAGCGGCGGGCGAGCGCGGTATCCGAGCCCGCCTGTGGGACAAGTCCATCTCTGACTCTCTGGACCTCACGGTCCTGAAGAATATCCAGCTCCTGTGCTTAGAGGAATAAGCTCGTGGCAGTCATGATCGCTATTGAATGCCGTTCGTGGGGTAGTGCACGCCACAGAACCAATGTAATCCGCTCGCGATCAGAGCCTTGGGGAGTTACCAAGCCGGCCAAACCTTTCTCGGCCAGCGACATGGAAGCCCTCAGGACTGGAAACCTCCAAGCCCGAAGGATCCTCAAGCTTATCAGATACATCCATGTTCTTGGTATCCCGTGGGCCGTTGAAAACCCTTCATCAAGTTTGCTCTGGTGGGTTCCAGGTTTCTTGACACTCGCGAAGGACCCCAAGGTGTACGTTAAGATTATCGACGAGTGTGCCTTCGGTACTCCATGGCGTAAGCGTACTCAGCTCATGTTCGGCAACTGTGATCCTATCGACGTAACTTTGTGTGATAAATATATCTGCCACGGTCGGGGACAATGCTGTTTCTCAGGAAAGCCTCACGTCGAGTTGGAAGGGAAACGTATGACTGCCCAGGCCCAAACATACCCACCCCGTTTCTCCCAACTCCTGGCCAATATCCTTTGCAGTGCGGCAGTTTACCGACGGGCTTGCCTCTGTTCAATCAACTCATAAGCTCACTACCTTTCGGGGCGATTTGGGAATCAGCTAACGCATAATGCCGAGTATATACACTTTAGCGTTCTCATGTCCAGTTGAGGGCCAGCTCGTGAAGACGGTGGCAGGGTTTATTAGACACATTGCTGTTCGAAAAACAGAGTGCAGGCCTTGCATGTTAGTGCGGAGTGTGCTTGCAAACGGGCACGGGATTGAGGGGCCCATCGACGTGTTCACCGTGCTCTCCTGTATCCATTATATATTCGCTCAAGCTTCCCTCCCCCCTCTCCCTCTCTTGCGCTGTGCCGTCGTTTACTCCACGTTTCAATGGGGAATCAGCTAACGCATAATGCCGAGTATATACTCTTTAGCGTTCTCATGTCCAGTTGAGGGCCAGCTCTTGAAGACGGTGGCAGAGTTGATTAGACACATTGCTGATCGAAAAACAGAGTGCAGGCCTCTCATTGCTTTGCGTTGCTTCGCATCGCGTTGCATTGCTTTGCAGTGCGGTGCATCGCTTTGCAATGCGTTGCACTGCTTCGCATTGCTTTTTCATCGCGTCGCATTGCCTTGCATTGCGTCGCATTGCTCTGCATTGCTGTGCAATGCTTTGCATTGTTTTGTATATCCTTGCATTGGTCTGCATTGCTTTGCGCCACAAAGGTTGTACCACATGCGCTGCATCACATAGACTGCATCAGATTGTGCCGCAGAGGTTGCATGAACTCACTGTTTGGGATTCACGCTGGACCCCATTGTGAAGAAGCACAGTTTCACATATTTCTGAATACGGCGTAGGAAACGAACTTGCGCGGCGCTGAGGCGAGATGCCCATTCCGAGAACGACCCGAGCTCAATCTTTGCAACAGTTTGAAGGTTTTGAGGCGAATGTGCGAGGTGCTAAGGCAGGAACACCACTTTGAAACTGAACCGCTTTCCTGTTGCAGACTTTAAGAACGAATGCGCGCGGTACCAAGGCGAGAGTCGCATTTTGAAAACGCCTCTCTCCATCCTTGAAAGAAATGCAAACTTTTAGGACAAGCGCGCGCGGCAATAAGGCGATGGACACTTTTTGAAAACGGCATGTGCTCCATATTTGTATTTGTTGCAAGAGTTTGAAATGAATGCGCCCGGCGCCAACGCGAGAGCCACATTCTGAAAAGGAACCGCCCTCCATCCGTGA